TACTATTCTAAATCTATATGTACTTCAGTTTGATTTGGTTTATATACCATCGGTTTTCAGTTTATTCAATTTTATACCAAAAAACATAATTATTTAGTTTGAGATCATATTATATATTATACAAATATATAATATGATCATATTTAGAGTCATATTGTCACAGAGTCATTTATTAAAAAAATATTATATATTTAAATAAGAGAATAAAAAACAAAAAAGGCTTCTATCATATAATAAAATGATCAAATCTAGAATTAATATCAAAACACTAAATTTTGAAAAAAAAAATAAAAAAAAAACGAAACAGAAGCATGAAAGAAAATTTTTTATATTCTTCCATATTTAGTGTTCATCAAACCAATATGTCTTCGATTGAACACAACTATGTTTGTTTAAAGATAAAATAAAAAAGTTGTAAAGAATTTCAACTAATTGTTTTCCATCAAATTTATAATCTTTACTTCAATTTAGTTAGTGTTAAAAAAACAAAAGATCAAAATAAGAAGTCTCAGTTGTAATAAATTGTTAGCTATTTACAAATTATAATTATAGTTCAACTCATGTAACAAATAGATATTCAAGCGTCGTTATAAATATATACATATTTACATGTTTCAGTTTAATCGGTTATAAATCAAATCATATCCAAATCCTATGGTTTTTATAAAATCACATTCATTCGGTTTGTATGGTATATACCAAAAATAACCATATTATCAATTGTTAATATCTTTTAAAAATATAAAATTAAAAAAAAAAGAACTAAGATATTTAAATCATTGATAACAAAAATTTTCAATGTGAAAAATTTAATAAGTTTATAATTTATAAATGTTCTCGAAAATTTATTGAAATTTTTAAAATTAAAATATTTATGTAATCTTATATGGTATATAGTTTAATCTGTATATATATTTGTTTTATTATTGAATGATACTTTTTACTTATATGGTTTTAAAATCATGTATATCTTTTTATAATAAAAATGTTAAACTGTTGATCATTAATTTTAACATAATAATTTTAATAGTTTAGTTATTTATTCTCGTTTTTTAATTTTAAAATATAACCTATACGAAAAAATCTAAATTTTAATTTTATAGCTAATTTGATTATTTAATTTATTTTAATAATATAAAATTAAAGAAAAATGATGGAGGAATATAAACTGTTATCAAATATTTATTATTAGAATCATTAAGTGTCATATATATATATTAGTCATTTATGGTAATTCCGTAGGTTTTATTTATGAAAAAAAAAAATAGTAATTATATCTAGGGGAAAAATCATTAAGTGTCATATATATATATTAGTCATTTATGGTAATTCTGTAGGTTTTATTTATGGAAAGAAAATAAAATAGTAATTATATATAGGGGAACAATCATAAATGCTTCTATCATAAATATTATATCATATCATATAATTTGACCAACGAATGTATCTAGCGACATATAAAAATCGAATGTGGACCTACTTATTTTTCAATTGAATGTAATTGACTACCTAATTGAGTGACACCTAAGCATGAGGTCTTTTTTAATTATTACAAAATTGAGGTTACAATTTTTTAAATGTTTCTCCTTTAATATATAAGGGATATTTTTTCACCGAAAAAGTACATTAAAAGAGAAATGATCAAAATATGTTTCATTAAAAAAATAATATTATTTTATAGATATAAAAAAATAAATAATTATTGAAACAAAAAATTGGAATTATACGTTTTTGAATTCAAACATTTTATAAATGTTTTTCCAAAATTTTGTTTCAAAAATTTATTTTGGTTTTCAAAAAGAAATTTCGAAACTATTTTTAATTTGATTTCAAATTTTAATTCTTATTTATTTATTTATATCTTAAATCTCGCAGCTCAAATCTACATTATTTAATCTTATATTTACCTCTTTAATAAAACATTTTGGTTATTTTGATATTTGTGTGTTATATTTATGATATAAGAATTTAAAATCATCCTAAGAAATTTCTCTAATTAGTATCATTTCAAGGGAACACTATTTCTAATCTCATTTTTACTACTATCATTAAATTTTTGTATAATTTTATCTTATATCTAAAAGATTAAATATTATATTTTATACTTTATTCAATTCATAATGGAAAAATTGTCATTTAAATTCCCAACTTTCAAATTTGGTTGAAAAAAAACATGAATTTCTTTGTGGACCATTTAAAGCCTCAACTTATCTTAACTAGCCATTTTAAACACTTACATTTTTCGACTAAGCCATTTTCAAGACGACGTTAACATGGTAACAGATTGAATTAACAGAGTTAAATCTCCGTCTCTAATTTCTGTTAAATGAAAACAACGTCATTTTTAAAATTTAAAACTCTAATTTCTGTTAAATGAAAACAACGTCATTTTTAAAATTTAAAAAATTGTTCCCCAATGGAATCGAACCCGTGACCAAAAGCTTAGTATGTTACAGAGTTAAACCACTAGACCACTTACACTGATGTTAACTTGTATAAATACTAATAGTTATTATCATTAAACTTCCATATCATCTTCTTGTAACCTAAGTCCCTAATTCGTTTCTGAACCTAATTCAATCATGAGATCAATGGTTTAGTGGGTTTAAACCTCAGTTTCGCCAGATATACTATGACATTTAGCATTTGTGTTGCTCCATCATAATTCAAAAGAGCTTGAATTGGATTGGCACTCTCCAGTTCAAAATCCTTTCTCTTGTTAGGATTATAACAAAGACGAAACAAGTACTAAAAGAACGAACCGTGGTGACGTTTGTAGAATTTCTGTTGATCTCCAGCAATGTTACTGATTTGTGGTAGACAGTTGTACTAGTAACATTTGAGCCTCGATTAGTGAGTCTTAATAACCCATCTGGTTTATCAGAAGATGATATGGAGGTCTAATGATAATAATTATTAGTATTTATAAAAGTTAACATTAGTGTAAGTGGCCTAGCGGTTTAGCTCTGTAACCAACAAGGCTTTGGTCACCGGTTCAATTCCATTGTAGAACATTTTTTTTAAATTTAAAAACAACGTCGTTTGCATTTAATAGAGACGGAGATTTAACTCTGTTAATTCAATCCGTTAATCATGTTAACGTCGTCTTGAAAATGGCTTAGTCAAAAAATATCAGTGTTTAAAATGATTAGTCAAGATAAGTTGATGTTTTAAATGGTCCACAAAGTTCATGTTTTTTTCAACCAAATTTGAAAGTTGAGGATTTAAATGACAATTTTCTCAATTAATAATATATTTTATAATTTATTCAATTAATATTATTTTCACTAATATAATTATAAGTTTTTTAACCATTGTCTATTCTGTTTGAAACTAAATTTGTTTATAAATTAAAAATCCAAAACAAACTCTAGCAACGAATCCACTACAAACTCTAGCAAGGCATCCAAAACGAGAAAAGGAAAAGATGGAACCAGTAGCATGAATTATATGGAAAATCAACAGAATTATACAAATCTAGACCAAAATTCTTAGACAAATGCTTTTGTAGGTAATTCACACCGTCAAGAAAAAGATCCGGTTTATCTTATAAATCTACACTAGAACTGAAAGTATATGTTGATTTGGAAAAAAACATATTTCTTCATAAAACAAAATCAAAGTCTCACACCAAACTACAACAACAAAAAAAAAAACTTGAAAGGAAAGGAGAATTCGGGATAGGAACCGACGCGGGACAAGCCACCACATGCCGATGGTCAGATTATTATTACAAAGGCCTTTTTTTCTGAACACGTTGTTTGACTGTCACCGAAAAAGAAAAGACATAAATGATTCAAGATGTATCTAGAGCATCCTTCTTTTATATGTTCACTGAGATTAGTACTTGCGATCATGCTTGGTTCGTAGCAGACACCACCACGACTATCAGATTTACACTGCTACGATAAGTTATATCAAATGAAACTTTATCACATTAGATAAAAGAACAGAGACAAAGTTATGGGAAAATACATGGAACTTTAAAGAGAAACCTCAAAGATTACAAACACCACTCATTCATTATTTCATCCATTTAATATTTCCCATACATTTGCTTACATAACCAGATCACTCAACACCAAACTTCTTCTTTGCGAATGCAATGAACTCTTCCACGGTAGGCATGTAAGGCTTCACAGCTTCATGGGCCCTAAACTTCTCGGCCCATTTGATCAACCCAGGTGTTGTCTCTTCCCGGAGAAACTTGACGCCTGAGAACGCCTCTATCACAGAGACTGGACCCAAGATGGTCCCACAAGCAATGTCGAGGAAGCCAATGTTCTCTCCTCCGAAGAATCCTAATCCTTTGCTGCTCTTCTGAAACGCCTCTTCAAGTGTCGCCAAACACTCCATCAGCTTTCCCGCCGCCGCCATCCTCCCTTCGTCGTCCTTTGCTCCTCCCACCGCATCCAACGCTCCAAAGATCTGATGAAAAAGTTCCAAACTTTTGAATACACATCCAAAACACAGAGTAACCAGTGAATCCCATCTCAATCCAGACAGATCTATGTTTGAATGTCAATATTTTAAGCTTCTAGTTCAACTTCAAAACATAAAGTCTCAAACTTTGAAAAGCAAAAACAGAGCATGTGTAATAAATCCAACAGAGATTCATGGAGTTTGAACCAAGATCTATGTTCGAATATCAAGATCTAAACTTCTACTTCAACTTATAAAGTCTCAAACTTTGACAAGCAAAAAACAGAGCATGTGTAAATAAAAACAGAGATATGATCTAAGAGTCTTGTGTTACCTTGTCGTCGACGAAGAGAGCCCAGAAGCGAGCGTTGGCACGTTCGTAAGGGTGAGAAGGAAGGATAGAAGGACCAGAGGACCAAGCTTCATCAACGTACTGAACGATGTTGAGTGACTCACAGATGGAAACATCGCCATGGATGAGAACAGGGACTTTCTTGTAGATGGGGTTGGACTTGAGAAGCAGTTCACTCTTTGCGTTCAGAACATCAGGTTCGTCCAAGTACTCGTACTTGACTGATTTCAAGTGTAGAGCCACTCGTGCCCTAAGGGCATAAGGGCTCGACCAAGAACCTATGAGCTTCACCGTATCGTTCTGAGCCATCTGTGTATTTTCTTTATGGTTTATTTGGTCTTTCACACTATTGGGTGAGTGTGTGTGTTTATATAATAGAGTGAGTTGATGAGAGTAACTTGAGAGACGAGGAAAAGTATAAACAAATGGAAAAGGAAGGCGTGATTCTCGTTTGGTATGCCGCATGGCAGGTGAGATGAGTCAAAGGTGGTGTTCTCTCGTGCATATTTGATTTTTCTATTACTTTACCAACTAAATAATAAGTGATGGCTTAGATGTTTGAATATTATATTTTACTCACGTATGATTTTGGTCTAGGAATTAGGACTATGAGTTGAATATTGACGACAATAGCAACAAATATTTATTGTGGATATAGAGTGGCTACCTAACTCATTATTCATATGCATATATACAGTTGTAAAACGAATAGTAAATTCAAAGATTAGTCAGCCACAAGCGAATATAGATAGCATCAACCCTGCTTTGAAGGTTACGCTAAAGAAACCTGACACTTACAAAGACTTCTTCTGTAGAAAACAACGAAAACGGTTACGCTATGTAGCCATCGATTTGCGTAGACCATTTGCAGTAAATAATTTGGTGTAAGTAAAAAAAATGTCTAGTTGGAAAACAATTTTGCAGATCTAAAGGAAGAAGAGGTCATTTTCTGTCATTAAACTTACATAACCCCATTATTTAATGTGGTGATTAAGACAACATGTAGGAAGCATTCGACTTTAATCATGTGATGCCAAATGCTTATTTCTATCTGACATTGCCTGAAAAAGCAGTTACCCAGGCCAGATTGGTAACTATCTTTAAAAATCACATGCTGCGTCTCTGCTTGGTGTTTCCTTTCATACAGTAATTAGCATTCAGCATATTATTGAGGGTCATATTGCTATTTATAATCATCACCACTAAAAGGTTTTAGTTCACAAGGTTCCAAATTGTTGGCCAATCTTCTTAACCAAATTACGGCACTAAATAGCATGCTTTTGAGAAGATAACATCCCTTGCTACGACTTTAGTCACCAAACGCTCTTGTTTAGCATCTTGACAATAACATTTTAGCATGCAGGTGAAACAGAGTAACTGAAAGCATTTAAAATCCTCATCCTTACGAGGAAGTTCAGACTTGCAGTAGTACCACTTGATCACGTATTTTGTAAAAACAGCAAAAACAATTTGACCTCTCAGTCAACTTTTCAAGAGCCCTTCATTATAAATATTATATATAGAGATACATTATAGTTTGTTCTATACACCGAGATCTAAAACAGTTAGCTCCACAAACTCCCATCTGGTTCTTCATTTTCTTTTCTAACCAAAAATTCCAGAATCAGGCCCAAAAAAAAACAATGTTATGTCATCTCATGTTGCAGCAATGGGGCTTCCCGAGTCTCTGCAGCTTATCCCACATGCAAATCATCTGGCGAGGCGACTGATAATGAGCTGTGAAGTAGTCTTCTATGCATCCGAACTGGCAGAACTTGAGACTATGAACCACCGCCACTGGCCTAGTCTCGTTGAACTTCTCCACCCACATTCCCATGCTCACATCTTCCATCTTGAACAACTAGAACAATAAAGAAGCCCCAATGACCATATCAACAGATGCTAAATTCAATATAAAGAAAAACATTTTTGCATGTTCTTGAACAACTTACTCTTAATTTCTTCTGTTCAAAATCATCGACGATGAACTTAGCTATGTCATATGACAAGATGTAACCCGGACCATTTGCATAAGGAGGATAATACTCTTCTGGCCATTCCTGGTTTCACAAACCAACATAAATTGTAAGCGTTTCCTATTACATGTTTAGCTTAATTGAGTGTAAGACCCTATGCATATGTACCTCGTATGTGACAGCCCATTTTCCTGTGCGCAGAGGCTTATGGTAGAAATTAATGTTTCCAATATAAAGGCTGTCTCTTCCTTTCACCTTCTCTGCTTCCTGGATCACAGCATCCACTCTCACAAACGTATCATCGTCACATTTCATTATATACTTTGCCGCCACTGTGTTAACCTACAATTTTCAAGAATAACAATCAGACAAAGTAATCAAATGTAAGGAGAACAAAAGAGGGACGAAGAAATGAGTTGGCTTATCACCCCATATTCACAGATGGCAACCGTCTTGAGCACAACAAGATCATAATGATCCATGTACGGTACTATCACAATATCACCAAAGTATTCTGCTTCTTTCTTTAGATCCACATTGACTTCTTTTCTTGCGTGCTAACAACATAAACAAATGCAGTTAAACCAAAGACCATATGTTAAAGTGATAATCTCTTTCAAGAACTATGCTTACCAAGGCAACAAAGAACCGTGCAACAACTTTAGATGATTTAACTAGCTTTTGCTGCATCCATGACTTCCTCACAGCCATTCTCTCTGCAAAATGGTTACCAGCAGAGAGAATTCCAATGAAGAGCTCAACAGGCTTTTGAGGTAATGAAGGAGCTTTCCACATGCTCTGCATCTCGAGATGCTTCTGCGGCGCAAAGCTTGGGTTTGTGGAAGGTAAAGAGGAAGCATATATCGAATGCACATCAATGTTCCCCTTCACTGCTAACCCAGTAGCATCCTCTAGTACAAACCCCTGAAAAGATCCATTATCACCAGTTATAACTCACGGTTTAAGACCAAAAAAAAAAAGGAAAAAGAACTCACGGTTCTGTAAGGGAAAGAAGTGATATGTCTTCCATTAACACTGATGTGATAACCTTCCATCCCAGCTCGAAGGGTGAGAACAAAGAGCTTCCCTTCAGCAAAAGGATAAGGCCACTCATGTGTCACCTTCTTCCTCCTACCCATTAGCCTATTCAACCACCATGTCTTCTTTGACTCATCAGAATCATCATCACCACCACCATCATCCCTCTTCCACCTCTCACATTTCACCTCTCCATCAACTTCACAACAAAACCAAATAAATATCAAACCTTTAAAAGTCAAACTAAAAACAATTGTTCAAAGTCAACTATAAAGTCAAATATACCAGAATCTTGGTCATCACTAGACTCACGACCATCACAACGCAAAGCAGAACCCCACTGCATCCTATAACAAGTGTTCTGCTCAATCACTGGCTTCCCACTCCAATCACCTCTAATCCTCGGGTTGAAATGGAGGATCCGAGGCGGATCTTCACCCTCCACAGCCTTCAACCCTTGCAACTCCATCATGAACTGCGTCACCATAGACTCCACACCCTTCCCATCTCTCTCCACGTGCGCCCAATGCGGCGTCGCCACGACCGTCACGTGAGATCCAAGCGTCAACCCGCACGGCAGAACCAAGATCCTGCTCCGGTTCACAAACTCCGAACCGGTAACCGAAACAAAATCCGGACATTTCTCCGTCCGGTTCTTAACCGGTTTTTTATCCGGTTTGGTAATTAAACCGGAATTAACCCCGTCCCACATTTTCTTCCCCGTCGAAATCGCTTGCTTCGAAAAGATGGAGAACTCGTCGGTGGATCCGTCGAAGAGGCTCTCGTTGGCGAAGATTTCGGAGACGGTTCTGAACTCTCGCATTCTCCTCTCCGGTTTACGACCCAACCGGTTTACCCGACCCGGTTCTACTTCTTGTTCTCCGAGGACAGCCCGGTTAGCTTCTTTAGCAGCAAACATCTGTCTCGGGAGTGATGTAAAAGACTCGTCGTCGGACCCGGAGGACCCGGTTCGGAAGATGAAAGGGATCTGGAAGCTCATGCAGAGGAGGTAGAAGAGGAGGAGAGCTAGTAGGAACTGAACGAGACCGAATCGGTTCAGTGAGGCGGAGTTATCGAGTTTGGACTTCTTCATTGCTCGGAAAGAAAAAAGGAATCAAAACCCTAAAAGAAAGTGATTTGGGAGAATCAAGAAAAGGGGTTAGAGATTTTGGTGAGCCATTAATGCAAAAGATTGATATCTACTAAAGAAGAATGAAAATGTTGGTAGAAAATTTTCAAGAAAGGGCAAAAGACTTTTCTTGAATAGGTTCCAACTTTAAAGCAAAACAGAACTGGGAGAAGGAAACAAAACTCTGCTTTGAACAGCAAAATAATAATAATTCTGTGTTTTTTTTTTTGGTTTTTGCGAGGTCGGTAGTAACCGTGTATGAAGATGGTAAGGCTATAGTACTGGTGAAACTACGTCGTTTACGAGTTCACACACTGGGAATGGGAAAATAAAAGGTAGTAAGGTACTACTAATATTTAGCGTTTGTGTTTATTTTTTGTATGAATGTTAAACTTAACTCCTTTTTATAAAGCTTTTTGAAAAGCTTCGATATTTTGTGAAGTTTAAGTTAAAGATATTCCTGATTATTGAACGTTCTTTGTGTATAGCAAAACTCCAAATCCGAATACAAGATAACCGCTAATTACGTTATTAGTGGTAAATTACGGTTATATTTTTCTTGGTCCAAGTTCCTAGTTAAGAAATATCAAAAGTGAAATCTCAGTTTATATTTTAATGATAAAAAAAGACACAGCCAGGTAGTTTCGAGAAGGATACCCACCACATATTCTCAAAACGGTAACCATTATTGTAACATATTATTATTTGGAAAGCTTTTTTATTTCGTTTCACATGAAATCATCTCGTTTATGCGGTTTGCAAAGCTAGACCGCCACCAGTGACAACACAATGTACTTTAATAGTTGTTCATGTCGTCTAGTTTCGTTTTCATCGTTCATTTTCCAAAATCCAAATTTCTTAAAGAGTCACGGGACATTGACCACAAAATATACAAAACACCTTTGGAATATATATATATATATATATATATATATATATATATATGGCATAAAATTATCGAGTATTTGATTATTTTATAAATATAATTTGTTTGTGGGAATAATAGAAACTCAATTTGGTAAGAATATAATAGAGAAATTTCCTAAGATAAACATAAAAAATAATTTGTTACAAATATAGATCTTAAAAATAAAAATGACCAAATTAAACTTAAAGATTTTATCAAATAAATAAATATACACATATATATTTTGGATTAACTAATACTAGATATTTTTGTTTATAGTTGAGGAGTCTGGTTTTTGAGATAAGATTTCAAATTTTTTTAAAAATAAAAAATGTTATTTTGGTCATTTTAGTTTTAAAATATATTTTTGTGATAAAAACTCAATAAAAGTTTATTTAAGAGATTTTTCCAGAATGATATAAGTGGACATTTTGTGTGTTAAATTTGATTTGATTTGTTATTCATATTGTTTCAATCTAAAAATTATGGATATACGTAATGTCATTGAATTAAAGAAAATATTAAAGTACAATATCCGTCAAAAACAAAAAAAAAGTTACAAATACTAAAAATAAATAAAGCTGGATCAAAAAAAAATCATAAATACTAAAAAATTTAGAGTTGGATACCGGATCTTCTCCGACTTTTATACAAATAGATGTGAACATATATATTTAAATATAGAGGTTTAAATGTACATATTATTTTAACATATCATTTTATTAATTTTATTTATAAAATTAGTTATAAAGGTATTACATTAAGAAAGGAATATCAAAACTTTATAAAATTATAATGTTTCTAAAGTTTTGTGTTTTATGAAAATTTGATTAGTTTTATAAATTTACGGAAATATAGTTTCACTAATTGTTTCTATATTATGTATAAGATAACTTTAGAAAATAAATTTTGTAGTATTTTTTTTTATTCACTTGTATTAAACAAATTGCATGAAATATCAGTAAATATTTGCAAATATATAGAAAAAAATCAGATATCCAAAAAACCAGATATTCATATTTCTTTGAAGCAAAACAAATAAAAAAATTAAATATTCGTAAATTATGAAGCAAATCACCTATATTGAAAATTAGGATATTATTCAATCGTTGCCCACCTCTAGATATAACCCATGATTATAATGTGAGAGAAGGTATTTACTTTTACACATAGGTGGTATTCCTTTTGATTCTTAAAAAATGTTCTTTTAATTTTTGCAAAAATAATTGAAATACATATATATTTTAATAAATTATACATATTTGATGAATAGTTGTATTTCAGATAAATAATTTTTTTATAAAATTAATGCAGTTTGCACTTAAAATTAAGTTGAAAATAAATATATTTTTCATTGAAATTATAAATGATATTTTTATATAATAATGTTAAAGTAACATTTTTTAAGAAAAAGAAGGAAGTGTTTTCTTTATAAGGAACTAGAATTTTTTCAAAAAAAGCTTTTTGCTAAAAGAAAAAAACAATTTAAATAAACTAGTTTGACTTTTTTGCTTAATACTCCCTCCATTCCTAAATGGTCCATATTTTAGAAAAAAAATTTGTTCCTAAATGATTCATATTTTACATTTTTAATACATGTAATAATGGTAAATTGTAAACTTCAAAAACATTAATTATGTGTACTGAATTTTGATTGGTTAAAAATCATAGGAAATAGCTAAACACATAAAATAATGCATTTATTATCAAAATTTTAAGTGTTTTCTTAATAAGTGTGAAAATTCTAAAACATGGATTATTTAAGAACAGAGGGATATTATTCAATCGTTGCCCACCTCTAGATATAACCCATGATTATAATGTGAGAGAAGGTATTTACTTTTACACATAGGTGGTATTCCTTTTGATTCTTAAAAAAAATGTTCTTTTAATTTTTGCAAAAATAATTGAAATACATATATATTTTAATAAATTATACATATTTGATGAATAGTTGTATTTCAGATAAATGATTTTTTTATAAAATTAGTGCAGTTTGCACTTAAAATTAAGTTGAAAATAAATATATTTTTCATTGAAATTATAAATGATATTTTTATATAATAATGTTAAAGTAACATTTTTTAAGAAAAAGAAGGAAGTGTTTTCTTTATAAGGAACTAGAATTTTTTCAAAAAAAGCTTTTTGCTAAAAGAAAAAAACAATTTAAAATAAACTAGTTTGACTTTTTTGCTTAATACTCCCTCCATTCCTAAATGGTCCATATTTTAGAAAAAAAATTTGTTTCTAAATGATTCATATTTTACATTTTCAATGCATGTAATAATGGTAAATTGTAAACTTCAAAAACATTAATTATGTTTACTGAATTTGGATTGGTTAAAAATCATAGGAAATAGCTAAACACATAAAATAATGTATTTATTATCAAAATTTTAAGTGTTTTCTTAATAAGTGTGAAAATTCTAAAACATGGATTATTTAGGAACTGAGGGAGTATATATGAATTCAGGCTTGAGGTTTCAACCATTTACAAACACAACAACAACAACAAAAATGTTAGGCATGTTGAAACTTTCAAAAAGGGAAAACGATGAAAGTCAAAAGATACGTAAACTTACATAGGTTAATAATGAATAATTTTTTGGAACTTGACAACGTTTTCTTCGTTACAGGTTATGTGAAAACTCAATAGAATTTTAATAGAGTTGTCTTAGTTTTATTTAAGAAAATAACTGAAATAGTTGACCTGATGCTTACAACATGTTTGGGCTAATATGAATACAATACCTTCTTTTTTTTTGGTAAACATATGGAGACAATATGTCCAATAATGCTAACATGTTTGGGCTCATATGGAGACAGTATATGTCCAATAGTGCTAACAACTCGTTTGGGGTCATATGGAGACAAATTCAACAGCGAAGAACCGTTGTCCTCAATTTGTTTCATAAGTTTGTAACTTAGTTGTTAGACATTCTACATTTCTTCTTCAACGTAAAACACCAGCATCCGCCAAATCGAGCTGATAAGACGTACCAGACAGATAAGAGACCAATTTCACGATCAATTCAAAAAGACCAATTTCACTGCACCAATGATGGAGTTTAGATCTATGTTACTTTCAATTGCAATACAAAACGAGAATAGTCTTGATAGTTCAATTCAAGCCACACACTCATAGTGAATGTAACTAAAACCATCGATCGCGACTTATGGCGTTTATAACAAACAACACTCAAAGCAAAAAGAAACTAAACAACATCATTCTTGTTTATATTACCTCTTCTTCTTGGAGACTCCCCTTCACTCAGCTAACCTTCCTTCTCTAACAGAGTTTTTTATTCACTCTAATTCTTTATTAACTTCCTCCGCGCCAGCTCCATCTTTGAACTTCAAATTCTTATTCTTTTGGCGGTAATAGGCGCTCTATGGTACCTATTATCTGAACATCGCAATTGCAGCCATTAAAGAACTGGAAATGAGGATAAAGGAGAGGGATGGCGCTCCTTCCTGTTGCATTTGCTGGTATTCTTTAAGTCATGCATATATATATGACCTTTGTTGATATATCATATAGGACACATTTACCTCACCGTGGAGAGAGATGTTTCTTTGTTTATACAGCCTATAAAACGATGACGTTTTGTGGTAGGAGAAGAGTTACGCCCTATAATGCAAGGCAGAAGCTTTAACGGCATGTGAGAAATCAAATGTATTGGAATCTTCACATTTCAAGTTTGTTTGATTGCACCAAAAAACATCACCCGCCTTGATATCTTCTAGACATGTTTTTGCGTGTTCATGAATGTAGTTTGAATCATTATGGTTAATGTAAAAGTTGACCGTTAACATTCTATGTAAGTCTGCGGGTTGACCAAGAATAATAGGCATTCTCGGAAGATCACTTTGTTGTTCTTTAAGATTAAATGACTTGGTTTCGTATTTCTTATAAATTGTGAAAGGAAATTGTGTTAGTTTCTTCTATGAACTTCCAAATGTCTTAACAGTTTTCTAATAAAAAATGTATTAGTAATATTAAAGACTTGGAGGTTATATAGAACATGCATGATGCATCATCACCCTGCTAACATTTGAAGTGTCATGAGTTTTAAGAGAGCCATATTTAGTGTGGGGAGAACAAACTAAGACCGTTTCTTCAACAGCCTGACGTGGGCAACAAAAGCAACGATTGGGATTTGGGATTAAGAAAAGGTCAACTATAACATGTTGACAAAAACAACCCAAAAGAATCCAAGTCTAATATTAATTATACTTTTCCAAGAAAAGATATGATACACACGTATTATACGGTAATGTTTGTATATATCTATGTATTCAACTGTGTTTAGTCATGTACGAATCTTATGTATTCATAAGTCTTCTATTGACTTTGTTTGTTTTGTGGAAAATAGATACAACATAAACCCACGCGCGCTACAGCTACCTCCCTCATCTCCTCTCATTTTCCATTGTATTCTTTATTGGTTCAAAACATAAAATATGAACATTCTATTTACAACATATAGTATGAACGTTATAATTATCGGTTCTTTCAGTTAATATATACTTTCAATCTAATTGTGAAGTTTATAAGCACTTTAACAAAATATAAAGAAGGCCAAGAGCTACGTGTAAGATAGTTTAACTACACTGATCTATCATCAACATGCCACTAGTGCAAACCAAACAAAGCAAGACATAATGGAAACAAGAAAAATTTGGTTGCACCGTTGTATACTGTATATGGTGACTTGAAGTGTATACCGGTCTTAGATGGTATGAAAACGAAAATTGAAACTATAACGTGTGACATTTTCTTGTAAAATATTCACATCACGCAATTCACGCGCGTGAGGCAAAATGTACAAATACAATTACTTACGCAAAGTGGAACCTTCTGCAAATTAAATATTATATTTCCATGTGTTTAATATTTTACCAATAGTCATTTCGTCATTTGATTTGGGAAATTTCTAAATAATTTCAAGCCGAATAATACTCCGAATATTAACTTACAATAGTTCCCTTTTAGCTTTTTCCATTTTAAATAACTATCTATATAACCATAAAACCCGTCCATTCATATTTCATTAGGACATCCTTCCATCACAAACATATTTTCTGTTAGATTTGATCTTTTGTCTCTTCTTCAAACATCAAAGAAATGGAGTTATTCACCAAAGGAGAAGCCGTTAAGTTAAGGAGCCACCTGGATAAGTTTTTAGTTGCCGACGACGACCAAGAAACCATCCGTCAAAGCCGTAAAGGAGATGCCAAGCGAGCTGTATGGACGGTAGAGACCATCGAGGCTAAACCGAATCTGATAAGATTAAGAAGCTGCCACGGCACGTACTTAACGGCGAGCAACAAACCGTTGCTTTTAGGTATGACCGGTGAGAAAGTGACTCAAACGCACTCGTCTAACAAGCCTATGGATTGGCAAACGCAGTGGGAACCGGTGCGAGATGGTTTCTCGGTGAAGCTGAAGTCTTGGTGCGGCAAATGGATGAGGGCTAACGGCGGAACACCGCCGTGGAGAAACTCCGTTACTCACGACGAGCCTCATACGTCGAAGACCAAGAACTGGTTGGTTTGGGATGTTATTACCGTCGGTGGTTCTGATCTTGAAAACATGTCTGATGGAGATGAGAGCTCTGTTTCTTCTCCAGTTTCTTCACATATCTCCGGGTCGGGTCTAGGGTCGGAGCCTGGTTCGCCCGTTTCCGCAAGGTCAATGAAGAGTATTGATCGATTCGCTGCTGGTTTGAGTTCTATGTCTCCGAGATGGTCTGCAAAACCCGTAAGTTTGACCAAGTCTTTAATCATCAATTTTCATTTACATTGTGCATTGAATAATTTTTTTCTTAATTAAGTGTACCAAAGAAAGTTAATGGTTAGCTGGACTAAGCCCAATTTTGGTTGGCATGCATTAGATAGAAAATGGATGATTAATTACCATATTACTAATATTTAGTGTTATAGTAACTTGGAAAATATATGGACTTATATATATGATTCTGTTCTCCACTAACATATATAGTGCTCCACAAGCACATACATCGTTCGCTCCACCAACCTAACCGCACCCAGAAATTTCATTTAAAAAAAAATTATTATCTTTTATTAATTAACTGTTTATTTTACTTAGAACAACTTCGTATTTTATAATTCACAATAGAAACTACAACAGTTGAAAATATGACATTTCAAGTCCAGCTGAAGTACTAACATGTAAGTGATAGTAAAAGTTCTTACAAAAGTTATACGTACTATATAGACTGATTAAGGAAAAATTATACCTAATCTTTTTGGGCAACATTAAAAACTTATACCTAATGGCTTCATATAAATAAATCTAATCGCAGCTAACACCAGACACGTGGAAACAAAGTATGGTGAAAAAGTTGGTTTAGTAAATGATTTATTTGTGATAGTATGGACTATGGGACCATATGGGTCCAAGGAAGGAAGTAGTTAGGAGAGTCCCACACTCATGAATTTCCTTTTTCTCTTGGTATTTCTTGCGGGCAAGAGACTAGACACTTATTCTATAAGCATTCCTTTAAATCCTCTTTTTCAAATCTCTACTTTTATGGCATAGGGATAGTATTAAATTTTGGGGCACAAAGGGTCATATAAATGCTTTCATTTTGTTAGAAACTTTTTATTATATTTTTCATTATTTGTCCCCTTTTTGGTTTAATGTTTACACGGCAAAATACGTGTAAGTTGTAACCGAAATTCAATCTACATCACATGGTATATGCATATATCATTGTATCGTCTTAAATGAATAATGGAAGTATATAAGAACAAACATACCGAGAGAATACAATACTTGATAGAATCGTTTTTTCATCTAACTGCATAACTAAACAAACGAAAACTTAAGAGAATCAAAATGAACATGGATTTTTTTTTGGGAAAATAGTTACATATCCATATCATAAAATTTTCATATAATGTTTGTAATTATCCCCTTCTAAATGTAAATTAGTTAAGTCTTATCATATGGATTAAATCAATGAGTTTAGATTAACCTTCAATATTTCACGTTGAGTCACTATTGTGTTACCTGAATCTAACATTATGAATGATTGAAAGAGTATAGAACTGGAAATGTTCCAATAAGATCTTCTATCTATGAAAATGTTTATTGCATATTCTTTTTTTCATCTGTGTCACAAATGTCTAGTAGTTCCTCTTTTTATTAAACATTTATACATTCAAATCCTGTTGGTGGGATAGCAGTAGAGCTGTAGAGGTGGAACCACTACTGACCCACTTGCTCCTCTAGTTTATCACATATGTTGTTTGTTAACTCCAACTTTAAAAGTTAAAAAGCATTTGAACAAATTTATGATCTTGAAAATTAAAAGAAATGTTAATTCCTTTAGTAATGAATACAAGGAAAATAATAGTTAATGTCATGAGATTTCTCGTTGATTGTTGCTAATCAATGTAACGTTGTGCATTGTAACTTTTTTCATCATCGTGCATTGTAGTTGTACCAACGTTGAAATCCTCACAAACAAATCCCAGTCACGTGAAAGTTTGAAACAACACGATTATACAGTGCTGACGTGGCAATTTAAACGCGGTAAATCCAGTCAGCAAAGTCTGACTTTCCAGTTTTCATGCATCTTAAACTAGCCTCGTGTTCTGTCCGCGTAACCACAAAAGCCAATTTAGACCAGACCAAGGAAAGAGAGAGATGCACATATAAATACACACACCGCATCTTCACTTCTTCTTGCATATTCCCCACTCATTTACTTTTCTTTTTATACAGAAAACAAATAGCTTCAACCCAAAGGAGAAAACGAGTAGCTTCAACCAAAACGACACAGTATCAGCAATGGAGTTTTTCCAGAAAGCTAAAGCCATTCGAATGCGTAACAGCCACAACAAGTATCTATCCGCAGACGACGACGAAGAAACCGTGACACAAGACCGAAACGGATCTACCAAAAACGCTCGATGGACCGTCGAACCGGTCCGCGATTCCTACCACGTGATCCGTCTCAAAAGCTGTTACGGTAAATACCTAACCGCTTCTAACGAGCGGTTCTTGCTCGGAGCCACGGGTAAGAAAGTGATCCAGCTAAAACCTAGTCGTCTCGACTCGTCGGTTGAGTGGGAACCGGTTAGAGAAGGATCCAAGATCAAGCTCAGGACGAGATACGGTAACTATCTAAGAGGTAACGGTGGTCTTCCTCCGTGGAGAAACTCCGTGACGCATGATAATCCTCATCTGTCGGCTACTCAAGATTCCATCTCGTGGGAGGTTGATGTTGTTGAGATCTTGGTTAATCCTAAAGTCACGGCGGAGACTGAGTTCACTCCGTCGCCGAAGAAGCAGCCTTCGCCTCCGCCGCATAGGAGGCCATCGAGGACTCCGTCTTCTCTTTCAGAGAGATCCGAACAAGATGTGAGTAATTTTTGTAATTTACTAAAAGGCCCTCGAACTTTGTTTAAAACTACTGTTTTGACACGTGTGTTTTGGTTTTTGATCAGACGGTTGTGTCTCCACCGAAATCCGAAGGGAGAACGATATACTACCACATCGCTGATGATGAAGGACACGTGGAGGACGAATCTGCCGTTGGATATGCTTTCACGTTTAAAGGAAACAGCGTGGCGGAGCTGACTCAGACGTTGCGAGAAGAAACGTGCATGGAGGATGCTGTGGTGTGCACTCGTAGTCCCTTAAACGGCAAGCTGTTTCCCCTTCGTTTGCAGCTTCCTCCTAACAATGGAACATTGAATGTCATTTTGGTGCCGTCAAGTGCTAGCCTCTAAACGTGAGTATTATTACACCATCTTGTTATAATGTTTTCCTGATTATTTTAAACAGTCATTGTTAATTCTGATTATCTGCTTCAAGCTCTCATAGTCATATATGTCTTTGTTAAATTTACCAGTGGCGCAGGACTTTTGCGGATACATTGCAAACCAAATAATCGAGCGGTGATTGTCTTCTTGTGTGGTGAGTGTTTGGTGAAGCATTATGATATGAACTTTATAGAAAGTGTATAAAGATAATAAGAGTTGGTAGTTGGTACAAGACTCATGGTAAAGGAGATGAAAGGCGTCGCACTTGAGCATTACTTACTCTTTAGTGAGAGTTGGTATGTAAAAATACAGTAAAGAGTTTTGATGATAGGTGTTCAAAAAACAAAAACAAAAAAAAGAGTTTTGATGATAGAAAAATGTTTATACATTTTTTTTGGTGATATAGACCAAGATGTTCGTTTCTTTTGTTGTTGTAAATAAACGATTTCTTTTTGTAAACGAGCATTTTTTAGGAGTTAATATGTGTGAGCAATAAGCATGCATTCGACATGAACGTTAGAACATCATGAAACTCTGTACCAGAAATGTTAGTTCATATCCGCTGAGTTTCCATTGATTCATACAATGACTCCAACACATAGACTCCAAAGAAATACAAATGTTCACCTACGAAGTCATCTGCGACCATCAGTCCATCACTGACCTGAAAAATTAAATTGCACATTCGAATGCTTGTGACCTTATCCAATATGCATCTTTGCAAGGCAGAAAGGCCTATTGTTCAGTTGCACGTCATCTAGTTGATTAATATGAGTTGAAAGCTGGAGAAGCAAGCATATGGCCTTCCACAATCATTCAAAAAAATGCTAATAACGTTATCCACTATGCAATTCTTTCTTACTTCAACCAAATATTATTATTTTTCTCATATACAGACTTGATTTAAATACTCTTTAATAAAAGAAGAAAAAGAGGAAAAGAAAGTGTTGTATCTTCATCTCTAAGAAATAACTAGATTTTGACCCATCCTTTTTAAGAGTGGATATATTTTTTGTTGAAAAATTATTTTACGAAATAAAAATTATTTTTTTTGATAAATTAGATATTTTATTTTTTTATGAAATTTATCTTAAATTTACTTATATGATTTATTTATTTTTTATTTTAAATATAACTAAATTTTTGAAGACTTTAGATAATTCTAATTCGTACTATGATTTTATTAATTGAACCCGAAGTTAAACTTATTTTACACTGATTCTTTTTTAATTTAAATAAAATATTTTTATATCTTCAACACTCTCTATATTGAAAAATTTATTTGTGCGTTTCAAAACATTTTCAATGGTTTTATTAAATTTAGTTTATGTGATTTAGTTTTTATTTTAAATGAAACTATTCTTAAGAAATTGAGATAATTTAGACCCGTATTGTAATTTTGTGATTTAATCATTTGTTATTTCAACTTGATTTTATTTTGAGGTTTCATTTAATAAATGCATTCGAATAATTAATAACGTAAAATATTTTTTGGAAAGATATGTTGCAATATTTAAGAAACAAATTTTTTAAAAAGGCTAAGAATTGAATTATTAAATACTCTTTAGTGTAATTGCAAAATAATGACTTTTATTGGTTGAAAATACTGCTGGCAAAAAGGTACATATAATATTTGTAATTAATTGGAAAAGTCATAGCCATATTCATAAGAAATATTGTGCTTTAATAGTATAGATGTTAATGACTAACTTATTTTATAAACTGATAAAAAGACTGTTTATTTAGTAAAATAAATATATTAAATGAAAAATTAAGTGATAATAAATGTAATATATTTTTTTATTTAAGTTATTATTTTATTAATATAAACATGACTTTGAATAATATTTTTGGTTACGTTATTTTCTACCGCGGTTGAAACTAAAATATTTTTTTTTACTAAATCGAACATTTAACCATATATAAAACTTAGTTATTGACATTTTTGATTTTATAACTGGCACAAAATCTATATTGATTAACCAATAAATAAAAATATGCACTATTATTATATATGGTAATATAATTAATGATGTGTATTATCGTTAATGTAATATAATTAATAAAATTATTAAGCTAACTGAAATATGGAAATACAATTAATGTAATACTACTATTCATGTTTCCAAACAGATTTCATTTAGAATACTATACTTGTTTCCAAACATCTCCAAAATGTACTTCAACTTTAATAATATAGATTTTGTAACTTTTCGTATGTTGTTTCCAAGAACCTCCTAATTTGATAAATTAATAACAAAAAGAAAAAAATCTAACCAGCGAAAAGAAATCTCAAAAATAAAACGACGTCGTCTCTATTTAATCTAGAAATTAAGGAGTAATTTCGGCTGATTTTATTTTCCTGGATATTATCTTTTTACCAATAATCAAATATATTTAAAGAACACATCCCTTCAACTTATCCCCATCTCCTCTCAAAAAACCCTAATCATCTCTCTCTCATTTCCTCACCGCCGCTGATCAACGGTGGTCACTTCCTCATCCACTTAAAACCGATCTCCTACACAAACCTAAAACACCATGGCTCCCACCGCTACCGCAACCGCAACCGCCACTACCTCCTCAGACGCCGGTGAAGGACCAGTGATGGCCCTAATCAACAAACGCCTCCGCGCCCTCCGCAAGAAACTCAACCGAATCACTCAAATGGAAGAATCCCTCTCCCAAGGCAAAACCCTAAACAAGGAGCAGCAGGAAGTCCTCCGCTCAAAGCCTTCCGTCCTCACCATCATCGAAGAGCTCGACAAGCTCCGCACTCCTCTCTCCGCCGCCGTCGCAGAAGAAATCACCCTCGCCGCTACTACCACCACCACTCACCACCACCAACCTCAAGTGAACGCTCCCGCGGAGGAGGAAGTTAGCGGCGTTCAGTTGGAGGATTTGGCGAATCTGCTGTACTTTGGGGCGCTCTTTGATGTGAAGTCGCAGAACGAGTTGGCGGCGATTATGGTGACGAGGACGCACGAGAGGGGTTGCTGTTTGGTTTACGATACGGTTACGGATGAGTCAACGGATCTGTTGTGTGATAAGGATCTCGATTTGATCTCGGAGCTTTGGACTATGATGGTCTCTAGGCCTGCGGATTCGTTCTTGTCTCATAAGAACGCTTTGGAGCGTTGTGTGGAGCATGCTAAGCTTTGGTTGGCTAATTCGGATCAGCCGATTTCTTCCAACTGCAATGTTTCATGTAATTGAAAAAAAAAAAAACTTTACTTGTTTTGTTTTTTGGGTTTTGGTTTTAGTTAATTGAGGGTTTGTGTGTTTCAGATGCTGGATTGAGAGAGAAGTTGAAGAAGATTATGGGTTCTAATTACTTCACTATTACGCCTGAGATGGTTGTGGCACCGGTTGAAGCAGTAGCTGTGGAAGCTGCTGGTGACTACGCTTCTTTCCAAGTCGCTGCTGACAATGAGCAAAAGGTATTCACTTTTGTTTTGTTTGATGAGGTTAGGTTTTGATTTGGAGAGTGAACTCTCAGTTGTTATCATTGAAATGGTCTGAATTCTCTTTCTTTGGTCTAGGGATGCATTGTTGTTTCATAACACATTCTTTTTTAAAGCTAAACTGGTTATTGTTAGTTATTTTTTTTTTGTTATAGAATTGGTAGTGGATTTCAGTCATAGGTCGAAATCGAATGCCTGTAGTTCTTTCAGTTGTGTGATGCTAAGCTCTAGTTTGATCCGAAGGAGGAGCCTAGTGGTCTGGATCGAGTTTCTCTTGTGTAGGAGTCAGAGTTTGTCTACGCTTATGCTATGATACAACAGAAGAGTCAGATGTGATATGGGAAATTTAGTAAGCTGAGTCGTTTGGATAGGATGGAGAAGTTCATTTGTTACATTGTTGTTCTTATGGCTTTTGAGAACTCTACTATATGAGTTGTCAATATTTTGGTTTGTTCATGTGAGTAGTGACTAGTGTTTGTATCGTGACAAAAATTTTCTCCACTGTTGTGAATGTTCAAGACATGATTCTAAGTGGCTTGTTATGTGATGTAGAAAGCATACATCCTTTCGCTTGAGTTCGCTAGTGTAAATTCTTGATGTGGGACTGATGTGCTTTTGGTTGCAGGAAGAAGACGCATCAAACAGTAAAGAACAAGAAGCTGCTGTTAATGATCAACCTGAGCAACCAAAGGTAATCCAGTGAAATGTGGAGCTTTAAAAAGCATTTGTAAATCTATTGCTCTGGCTGAATTTGATGATTTTTTTTTATATATTTGGGTTTGAAGGATGAGCTAGTGACGGAAGGAGAGGTGGTCCAAGGACAGCAGGAACAAGGTTATACGCAGGTGGAAGGAGGGAGGTCAAGGAGAGATTATCAACAACAACAACAGTATGTGCCTCGTGGAACCCACCAGAACCAGAGAGGTCATCGAGGTGCTAGAAGAGGTCATTCCAATGCCCCCCGGGGAGGTAGAGGTGGTGGTAATGGTGGCTACTCGAATGGGGGGAGGTATGAATCTTATGAAAATTCAGGTGGAAACGGGTACCAAAGGAGCCACTACAACAACAGAGGAAGGGGACGTGGTGGTGGTGGTGGTGGAGGAAATGGCCATTCTTACAACAACAACCAAGACTCAAATGTCACTGTTGCGTCTTAGCTTTGCTACCTTTTTAGCTTTTGGGTGCGTCTCTTTGTCTTCCGCTATGACTCTCATATAAAAGCCTTATCTCGGGTTTGGACCTTTTGTCACCTGCGCTTTTGTTATGTATGAACTTTTGTTTTTTCTTTTATGGCCGTCAGTTAATATGGATCTTCTGTTCTCTCCATGAGAGCCATTTCTGATTGTCAAAATTATTTACGTATTCAGCAAATTTGACTAGCTAAGTCGTGAGCCCGTCTACAGTAGTGAAATAGTGATTTTTTTGTAACTGGTTGTTTAAATCAAGGAAACTTTCGTCAAACAATCGATAGTGGATAGTGGTCTCAAAACATTACGGTCAAAAAATACTTGGAAACAGTAATAATCTTTGGATAAAATCAGTTTCTCACCCTTATTAAAAAATGGGATCTCCTAAAACAAACCCCAAAAGAAGTAACGAAATGAGAATCTAAAAGAAACTTTAATGGCAATATAACCTCAACTTGATCTTTTGGAACTTCATAAACGTCCGAATAAAGCATCCTCCTTTAATGTTTTTGAGATTGAAAAGCTTTTGGTTTTTGTGCGGCGGTCACATGACTTCGTCTCCTTACTACTTTCTTCTTTCTCTGAAGAGGGTTTCCTTATTAGAAACATAGATAGATTAGATAATTCGGCAAATCTACAGAGTATGAGGAAGGCTTGATAAGAGAAAGCGCACAGAAAGTGTTCGACGAAATGCTCCAACCATGGTCTCTCTTTCATCTTTTGCTCCACGGATTTCGCTGATTGATTCCGATACCCTTTTACCTCTTTCTTCTTTCAATCTCAATCCCAATTGTTTGAGTCTTTTAGCTGATAGGAAGAGTTGTGGGCCTGTGCAATGGTTTCTCGAGGTCAAGCTGAGGAAGAAAGGTTGTTGCTTTAGGGGTAGCAGTGGGGTTTTGAGGATGTGCAAGAATCGAGATTTGGGGTGGGATAGCGATAAGGATCTGGAAACGGAGATTTTGGAGTTCATGAAGGATTCTGAGAAACCTGGCATGTTTCCGAGCAAGAAGGATTTAATCAGGTCCGAAAGATTTGATCTTGTTGAGAGAATCGTAAACAAAGGTGGATGGCTTTCCATGGGATGGGATTTGGATGATGAACAACAAGAAGAGGAAGAAGAAGAAGGGAAACACGAGGAGGTACGAGTGAACGAGAACGATAAACAGCTACATGATGGAGCTTTTGATCTTTCCTCAAATCCTATATCTTCAAGAGAGTGAGTTCTCTATATTACATTTCTTCTTATTCTATGCCTTTTGAGAATGTTAGTTAAAACAAAAGCTTACGTTGTTTCAGAGAAGTAGATGTTAAGAATGAGAGTGGGATTGAAGGCATATTGACCAGGTTGGAGAAAGAAAGGAATTGGAGTCTAGGGATTAACTTGAGTGGGAAAGCTGAAACCAACGGTGCCATGAATGATGTTTTCTCAAATGGTTCAGTTCCTCGGAGTTCAATCATTGTGGTATGTTATTTTGTCTTCTATTGTGCTCACTGTACGCAAAGAATCTTGATGAATAACACTGTTTTTGTCCTGAGGTTGCCTAACTTTTTTCTTTTACAGACAGCTAGTGACATCCAAGAAATTGACGGTATTACAAGTTCAGATGAATATGCACAAAGTAGGTATCAAGAAGCCAAGTCAGTTTCAGGAATGACAGGCTTAGACGATTCGTCGACACCAGAAACGTGGAGAACATGGAGTATGAGGAGAGCTGGATTTAGTGATGAAGATTTTGAAGGTACAGCAGTGACTTCTGTCTTCTTCCATACAAAGAAGTACTAGATAAAAATAAAGATCTAAAGCTATAAACATTTGTACAGCTGCTGAAATATCTTCCAGTAGCTTGGTTGGTCTAAAGAAGGATGCTTCTAATAAGGATTCTGGTGATACCATGAACGGAAAAGATAAAACTGCATCTTACTCTGAAAATATAAATACAACTCATATCAAAAGCCGTCTTCAGAATCTCCAGTCAGAACTTTCTTCTGTTCTTCAATCCCTTAGGTCTCCTCCTCCTGATGAAGTTGTGGCAAGTAAGGTAACACATGTTTTCAGTTTTTTCGTCTGATTGTTTGACTGGATGGGTCCTAGAAACATTTCTCTATTTAATTGATCTGTTACAATTTCCTATTTCAAATAGTAGCTATACTATTGGCGATATTCATTTGGCTTATTTATGGTTTATGATTTTGTTTAGGATAGTGAGACAAATTTTGGAAACTTGGAGAACCTCAGTGATGATTGGGAGTTTAAAGAGAATGAAATCATTTACGCCCAGAACAAGCTACGGTCGACAAGGGCAAAGCTAGCTGTTCTTGAAGGAAAGATGGCTATGGCAATAATGTATGTGTTGCTCATTGGTTATGTGCAAATAGATAGGAGTAGGATGCTTACACTAGCGTCTCTCTCATTGGTTGGCTTCTTTTTTCTTGTAGAGACGCACAGAGGATTGTACGGGAGAAACAAAGAAAAATAGATCATGCTAGAAGAGCTTTACGGTTACTCCGGACTGCATCCATAGTATGGCCTAACTCAGCCTCAGAAGTTTTACTAACGGGTTCATTTGACGGTTGGTCAACCCAGGTTAGTTCATATGGATGAAAGAACAAACAGATTAATCAAAGGGCTTCACATCTAATTTTTTTAATGATTTTGCTAGCAGAGGAAAATGAAGAAAGCTCAGAACGGAGTCTTCTCTTTATCACTGAAGCTATATCCTGGAAAATACCAGGTTAGATCATTCAATCAACGCAGTGTCTGTATCTAATGTTTTACCAGTTTTTGAGCCAAGACCAAAATCTCAACCTAGCTGCATTTTCCTCACAGATAAAGTTTATCGTTGATGGCCAGTGGAAAGTAGACCCGCTTCGACCCATTGTTACTTGTGATGGATATGAAAACAATCTGCTCATCATCTCGTGAGGTCATTGCTAATCCCACCATGTATGAAGCATGAGCTGGATCAGTAGGGTTTTAGTTTCGTTTGTATTTTCACTTTCAAGTAGAGCAAGGTAGCCAGGGAAAGCAGTAGAGCGGTAGGCTTGTAATCTTGAAAAAACAAGAAAGTAAGAAAAAAATCTGTATATCTCAAATTTTCTATCATTGTAATGATGATGCAATCACCATGTTCCTCTGACGAGAATAATGCAAACAATTGACTTCCCATTGTATAATGTTACACATTAGATATAATACATCCATTTCTATGATGAATGTTGTACCGCCTTACAACATAGGTAAAACCACTACCGCAATATACTTTGGTATCTTTCGTCCGCTGGTCTATACTCCCTAGGCTAACGAGTTGAGGATTGTTCTGATCATTGGTGTTTCCAAGACCTAGCTGACCATGTTCACCCCATCCCCATGTCTGAACCTCTCCACTCTCTGCAAGGCATTTTCACATGTTCGTTTGTTAATAACTCAGAAGAACATAGAGATGAATTGCTCCTCTCTCGTTTACCTGTTACAGCAGCAGAATGCTCTGCTCCTGCTGCAATTTGCAGAACTTTAACTCCATCAAATCCGGAAACTTTCTCCAAGAGAGGTTCAGAGGAATCTACTTGCAGTGATTGCTTCTCGGATTGTTTATTAAGGGTATTACCAAGCTTGAAAACTTCACCATCGACTGTTCAACAAGTCCATGAGCAATGAAATGAGTTCAATGAGCAAACAGCCAAACAGAAGGTAACTGATGCATCCACATGGAAATTACCTGTTAGTAATAAAGCATGATTCCATCCTAAAGCAAGTTCTCTGAAAGAAAGAGATGACTGCAAACACTGAGGGGTTTGAACATCAGAACTGCCGCAGAATCCTCTTCCCCAACTGAACATCTGCCCACTAGCTGGTCAAGTACATCGGAAAAGACGTGATTATGCAGAAAGACACATGCTTGGAGCAATCAATGAAACTGAACATGAAACTTAAAGAGTTAACCGGATATAGCTGCACTATGATCTCCATTGGCTGCTATACAAACAACCTCAACATCTTCTAATCCAGAGACAACACATGGAAGATTTACTAGTGACTTTGTTCTTTCTGATGAGACACCAAGCTGTCCACGCTTCCCAGATCCGAATCCACAAACTTGATTCCCTATAAAGAGAGAGATAAATCAACACATTTTTTCTTGCGGAACCGGTGAATGGTGTATCAGATGGTTTACCTGCGGACAAGACAAGTGAGTGGCGCATACCACAAGCTACCATCTTAACACACTTATCAACAAAATAAGAGACTTTAGCTGGAGTAGAAAGTGAGGTGTTATCACCATGACCAAGCTGACCAAATGAGCCATTACCACATGTAAATAGACAACCGGAATCTACACTCACACACATACAACAGAAAGAGAGATCAATCTCTTTGTCTCCTGAGCAAAATTACAAAACTTCATATACAAAGTTAACCTGAAACAAAAGCAGAGTGGCTCCATCCAGCCGAGGCTTGAGTCACAACATAGTCGTCCAAGAAAGATACTGGTTTAGGTAACGAAGAATCTAGGATGTCCCCATGTCCTAATTGACCAGAGTTTCCCCTTCCCCATGTCAACACCTTACCTCCTGCAAATAAAAAAAAAGAACATACTTTAGATGTTGGATCAGAAGATTACTTAATCGGAGATTTGGACAGGGGTTACCAGAAGTCAAGGCGATGACGTGAGCGCCGCCACATGCGAGCATCGATACGGAAGGAAGTGACGTCAGCGAGAGAAGCTGCGGGAGATGCTCGTCTTGCAGCTTGGAAGTCCCTAGTTGCCCGTCCGTTCCTGCTCCCCAGCTCCACACTTGTTCTTCTTCTTCATCAGCCGGAGCAGGAGTTCCACCGTGTTCGGCCATTACACCACCGGCTCAGACAGACACATGTGTCACAAACCTCCCCGGCTATTCGCTAAGCAGTCACTTAAACGACGTAGTTTATACACAACTGGCTAAAGTTAATTAGGATATATGGGCTTAGGATAAGTCTTAACATCGGATCAAGGCCCACATAGTAAACTTCGCTTATAATCTGAAGAGACTTCAGCCTTCACTATCCACACACCACAGGTGTGGGAAGTTGAGAGAGAGAAGACAAATCGGTGGTCCTTACAAGACACCAATATTTCAATACTCCCAATCATATTACGCCACGTGTCTATTTCTGACAGAAAATCTACGTGTGCGTGATATAAAGGTCCCACATTGACCTGGATGGAGGAAATATCTGGGTCTGAGTCATCTGATCCGCACACGTGGGCGTTCAAAAGATTGTGCTGAGTTTTTGAACATGGCCAGTGGTCGTGATTCGGATCAGAAGAGTTCTGTCGATTTGCTGTATTATCATAAAATCAAATAGTGCAAGTCCTTTTCAAATGATAGAATCATTTCTCCTTTTTACTATTTCAATCATTGACTAATTGGAAATGTAGCATATAACATGTTATCAACCATAATGTATATATACATTTTGATAGCCAAAGGACCACATCATTTGAAAAATACTACCTTTGGATTCTCTAGGCATTGAAAAATATGGTCTTGTCGGTCGAATTGTATGAAATGTCGTAGTACTTTAACATAACGTATATTTAAGAAAATTAATATTTTATTTATTAGATCATTTTGTTACCATTCCATGAAAATATTTCAACCCTAAGAAAAATAAGGAAACAGATAGGTTATTATCTTGGGCCACACGGGATGTAGACCTAACAGTGTCACAAGCTCATAACCCTAGATTTGAAGCACTCAAAGATGGATCATAGTAAAATCCGAGAGCTGCAAGCTCCGGGAAGCTGTATGGATTATTTCCCCACCATGGTTCTTCTTGACTGTAATGCGTATTATCGCTTTTCACCGAGCTACCTTCTTCCCCAAGCTTCTCGGCTTCCATAGACTTAGTTTCAAGTTTCTCTTGCATTTTCAGCTCCGCTTTGAGAAGAGCAACCTGTTAAAAAATTGCATCAAAATGTTGAACATAGGTTTCAGGATAATTGCCTTGTTAATTTAAAAATTAATGTACCTTAATTTTAGTTAAAAAAACAGAATAAATGTACCTTGTTCTTGAGGGCTTGGTTTTGTAGAAAGAGAATGTCCCTATCGGTCTTGAGCTTAGCATAGCTAGCCTTAAGAGAGTCACAGTCGAACTCTAGTTGTCTGGTCTTGAACCTAGCCCTTCTGTTTTGGAACCAAATAGCAACTTGACTCGGCTGCAAACCCAGCTTCTCGGCCAGCCAGAGTTTCCTGTCTGGTTCGAGTCTTTTGTCTTCTTCGAAACTCTCCTCTAGTAAACGCAATTGGATTGGTGTCAGCTTCCGTTTCTTGGTTATCTCACGCGTCTTGTAGCTTTCACAGACGTCTTCTTCGTCCATAGTGTTAGTCTCAGTGTTGCTCACTGAGCTAGATCCTACAACAGAATCAAGAATACGTAAATGACACTAAAATTAAGAAGAGAGTCGGATCTATGTCATATGAGGTTATTTAATTAACGTTTTCACCTTTTGTTTGTTTAATCTTTTAAAAACTGAAATGGCAGTTTTTTTACTTGAGTGGATACAATTTGGCATTGAAGATTCCTCAAAGGTCAAAACTTTTCGAGAAAAAAAAAACAAAATCTAGAGCAATGGAGTAGATGAATACCATAAAAAGCAGAGTGAGAGGTCGGTGGAAAGCAAGAAGAAGGAAACTTAAGACAATGGCTTTGGTTCTGGTTTTGAAACCAAGAGAAAACTTCTGAATCAGTGTTTGAGTTTTCCATTGGTGACTGGTGTGAATGAAAATGCTGAGTCAATTAGCTGCAAATGTTGAGACTCTTGAGAGTCACTTTTTATAAAGAATAAATTATGTAATTGCGAAACACAAAAGTTACAAGAAAGAAAAAAACGATTCCTTTTGCTTGTTTTAGTGTTTGGTAAGAAGAGTGAGACAAAGGTGCTGTTTTGCCATAAGAGGGATTATACTTGTGGTTTATAATCAACTGAGTTCAAACAAGGCTATTGACTAACAATTTTTTCCAATCCATAGGCCTGTTCAGAAGAAAACAAACAGCTCAGTGTTACATTTAATTAAATTAGGGGAAATACTGGAGAAAATGTATAAACAAACAAAAGCTTAGTGATATAAACGTGTTATGCAACCACATTATGTAGCAAGTAAAATCTAATAACCCTTCTACGTACATATGCTTTTTTTTTGTTGACAAAATACGTACTTATGATTAGTGTGGTTCAATATTTAACTAGATCTCAAAAAGAATAAGACAAACGGATCTATTGTACATGAGCGAGCAAGTTGGACATGAGATGCTCTCTAGCTAATCACCTTTGCTGTCTATTTATATGCAAGTGGGTGCAATATTTCCTAATGTGGCTCAAACAATCCCTGTGTACTACATTTGTCGAAAAGAAGGAAATTTAAAAAGTTGCCCATTCTTTTGTTTTCCGTCGACATCAGATTCTTTTGGTTTGGTTTCGTGAAAACTGTGAATCATCAGTGGTGTTACCTTGCTTTTGCTTATTCACATAACAGTGTAGTGCTGTCCTTTTTGTTTGGGTTATGCTATAATGATAATAGTATTATCTGAATTCAGCAAATAAACATCTAAATTTGTTTACTTTTTCTAATAGTAGTTTTGTTAAGGCTTGGGTTAAAACTTAAAACTTATCCAGAATACTTAATTTTCATTATCTGGATCCAAATTAATCCGGATAAGAAAAAATCCGGATTAAAACCATCTCAATATTTGAATATCGGAGGGTGGTGGAATCAACCTCGTATTACGAATTATGTCTATACTCCTAAGTTATGTAATGGTGACACTAAGACAATGAATTATAAAAGTTCTACTGTGTTGCCTCTTTTTGGAGCTTGACGGGCTTAAGATGAAAATGAAAGCGTTATGTTTGAGTTTGACCTATATACATGAACAATGGTTTCATGGTAAAAATTTGCATCTAGTAACTCTGCCAAGGGACAAGGTGGAACACGTGTAGTCTCGTGACAATATGGTCCAGCACACATCAACCAAAAAAAAAAAACACTTAGTCGGTGAATGCATGGAGACAGCTAAAATTGGTTGTAAAAAGTCATGGCTTCAACTTTAACCAATATACTTTTTCCTTTAAACTCAAAGGTTCTACAAGCTAACAATTATGATGTTCTTTATCGAGTAGGCTTTCTAGAACATTAGCGAGCTTTAGAGCCTACAAGCTAAAAACTGTGTTGTTCTTGAGTAGGCATTCTAAAATACAGTATTAGCCCAGCTTTAATCATTCCTTCTATATCTGCGGGATTATCCACCCTATCAGCAATACTGATACATTTCACCAAGCGACTAGCTGTAGTTTTACAACCCTTGATTAACATGTGCAGCGGCGGAGCCAGCTTCATCTCTCGTACGGGTCATTTATTAAAATAGTTAGGTAATATTACTAAAATGGGTCAGAGTTAAGGTTTGAACGTGTGTCATGGGGTCAAGTTAAAGGATCTTAACCAAATGTTCTAGCCAAAATCAATTGTACACTAAATTTTTGACCCACGTTTAAAAAGCGCGGATACCATTTTGTTGTTTTATCTACAAATGAATCGATAAGTTTTTTTTTTTGCTTTGATGATATATAATGTTCTTGTCTAGTATAACTTTCTAAAATTATTGTCGATTTTAAATTATTATTATCATCAATATCTAGGTAAATGTATTATATGTAATCGTGTAGTTTTATTTTGGAAAAATAATATCAATTAACTACGCTTGGTGTTGGGAAGCGGGTCAAACTCGCCCTGTCCAATCCGCCTGACCCGCAAAGAAATACATTTTATCCGTATCTGTCCCACTTTATTTTGCGGATAATCCACGGGACCTAAGGATAATTATTAATAATAAAAATATTTTTTTTATTTTTTTTTCTAAAAGATAACATTAAATAGTATATTTTTAATTAAATTTTTAATATTTTAAAAAATATTTAATTTATCAAAATTTAGTAATATTTTTGAAAAATAATTTTTAAATTTTTTTTTATTTTTACAGATTACCGGATACCCACAATTGAAATTATAACAATCCATATCCGTCCCAGGTAAAATATATTTGACCTGTATCCGCATCCGTACCCGCAACTTAGTTTTTTCAAATGTCGATTGACCCGTTTAGTGGCGGATCGAATGGACCAGGAACAATGGACTAATAATTAGAAGGTGAATTTGGCCCATTATTAAAACTCATTAGTATATAATTTTTAGGCCCATAATAAAAAGATTATTTTGCCATTAATAAAAAATTAAATTTATTCATAATAATAAATATATTTTTGAAAAACATAAAAATCTCAGAATGATCATGTTTTAATAGTATTGATAAGCTAAACTCATTTATTTGTAAAAGTTACGTGGGTCAACTGACCCCCTCCCCACCACATGGCTCCGCCACTGAACATGTGTGTAGTTACGATGTGGTAACTGACAGCATATGACCATATGAATAACGGATCAAGAATAGATAATGAGTGATAGGAATCCATGGACCAAAAATGATCGGAAGATCGCTCAAAAAGTTGCTTACATGTTGAAGTACGTAGAATATAAATCTTGGTTCTCCACATGGCCACTACTAGCCCACTAGATATTCTCGTGGACGAGTTAGGCTTAAAAGAAATAAGTCATCTATATACTGTTTGTATATAACCATAATGATGATGCGAAAGAAAATGGATATGCTGTTTTGTTGAAAGAGAGAGTTTTGGTGTGGTTCATCATGGGAACCGAAATTAACACCGTCGATTTTCGTAAATAAATGAACTTAGGAAAAATCCTAATTTCTCAGAGGCCTCAGATATCCGCTTAACCACACGCAAGCAATCAGAATACGATAAAAATAGTAAAGTAATATGAAAATCGAAAAGAGAGTAAAGACATTTCTTATTCCAATTTTGCGTAAGAACAGTACAACGAGGTGAAAGCCTTAGCGAGTTTCCTAGCTCTAGCAACGTAAGACTAAAACCCTAGTTGAGACGCATCTCGATAAAAAAAAACGGAAAATTGCCTAAATGCTCTAAGTTTTTATGTGAGATGAGAGCTCTGAAAATCGTTTGTTCTTGTCCTCGACCTTCTGCTTATATACTCCTTCTCTAAGCGGTTGGTCTTTCCTTTTCCGCTCCGATTTGCGCTTATCGAAAATCTTCCATTTTTCTCGATCTTTCCATTTTTCTTCGGAAAACTTCTATTTTATCTTCAATCTTGAGATTTTCCCACTCCTGCAAATAATGAGTAAACCGACTTCATATCTTTGGCTGGATCTTGTCTAAAGTCATGAGTGGGCTTTTATCGCATTTTAGGAATTTCCGAGCCGTTTTGCGATTTAGCCATTTTACGACTTTAGATGTGATCGTTTCCTGAGACGATGTCGTTTTTATAAAACATCTCGAGTTAATCGTATAGTTTGGAAATGTTGGGTGTTTTGTTTATAAACCGTTGCCGTTTTATACGATTTACTCAAGGTTTTCCGAGAAAACAAGTTTTTAGCGGTTTTTTATAAAATATCTCGAGTTAATCGTATAGTTTGGCAATGTTCAGTGTTTCGTTTAACCGTTGCCGTTTTATACGATTTAATCAAAGTTTTACGAGAAAACAAGTCTTTTACGGTTTTTATCGTAAAACTCCAACTGTAAGACGGATCGAGACAAAACGAGAGATGTTAAGATAAGGGTTCAGAGTACAATCGAGTCGAGGGGCATGGATGGTTTAGTTCAGCTCGCCAACAGGCGAGCTGGACTTGTTGGTTCAGCTCGCCAACATGCGAGCTGTTCAAGCACGGCCGGTTGTTCGGTTTCGATCATTTCTCGTTTTCTCGACCCAAGATCCTCTCGGAGAGTATAAGGAGAAATAATCGTAGATGTTTGATCTCGAGGTTATCGTTTTCGACCTTAATAACATCTTCACCGTTTCAGGGAGTTTGGACGTTACGGCCGTGTTTTGTTAATTTGGCCAATTTGGACAATCGCGGATTGTTTTATTCGGTTTTTCGATGATTTCCGAGATGACGATTGTTAAGTCTACGGAATTCCTTTGTTCGGAAAGTCCTCAGATTTCTTCTCGAAGCTTTTTCGTATTTCTAAAACCTATTCTTAACTTTGCGGAAAGTTTTGGTCGGTTATTCTGTTGTAACCGATTTTGACCCCAAGAGTTAGCCCTCCAGCCCGTAAGAATCGTAGAGTTCTTGCGAGCGGTTTGAACTTGTTTGGCAAGTTTGGTAGAATTAGGCAGAACTTTAACGACCAAAAGTCCGAAAGTGAATAGTAGAATCTTGCTTATAAATATGTGGAGTAAGTTTTCAAATTCTTTACTCACTGCTTAAGTCGAGAGAACCATTCGAGCGCTGCTCCTTTTAGGTTTTTGATGAAGAGACGGCAGTAACCCGCGTCCTTTTCGTTTTCTTGAGCTTGGCACGACCCATAGTGATCTGGAAGGCCTGCAGGTGCGCTTTGGGATCAGTCGTCCCACCGTAAGTCGGCACTTTGAGCTTTCCGTGATCGGGCAGCTTAATCTCGGTGATGCGAGCCGTAAAAGGTGTTTTCCGAGATTTGTTCAGCAGTCGATCGATTTCGGGCGCGGCGCTAATGGCATGGTGAATTCGAGACTTCACTGCTTTTACTGCTGCGGCCATTTTGGTGATATAATCGCGGAGATCGCGAATCTCAGTTGGGTCGCCAGTTGTTTTCTGACCCCGTCGGCGTTTGCTGCGAGTAGCTTGAGATCATTCCTCTTCCGTTTTCGCATGCTACATGCAATATAGCTCCTCCTCGTCCTCGGAGGAGAGTGTTCGGGAGACGAATCGGGCTGAGGACTGCGATCTTTCCTCCTTCTTGGATGAACTTCAGCATCTTTCTTCGAAGGATTGGATTGGTCGCTTGTTTTCAAATTGACCCTTTCGACACCATCATTCTAGATCTTCTGTTCACGAGAAGGAGATTTTTCCGAGTCCTTTTATGTCGCGTTAGGGTTATCTTTTTCGGAGGTTTGCCTCGGTTGATTACCCTGCTCGGTTCTGGGACAATCCATAGGAGTTGCGAAATTGAGTCTTCTTCCGTGGATTCTTGTGGTTCCATGGGGTAGAATAGCTTTGGTCTTTGCGGTTAGGGTTTCGACATGTTTTACGAGAGATCCGATTAGCTTATCCTGCTCGTCCGTCATTTTCTGATAGGCGGAGAGTACCTCCTGCAGTGACGTAGTGTTAGCCACAACATTAACTGTGGCCGCGTCTGGAGTTAGAGCTTCAACGTTTTCGTTTTCACGAG